GATGTGAATTGTCTCCCCTGGTCCCAGGCACATGTGTTTGTAGGTAGCATGTGTCTCTCTGTAGAGTGGACTGTGTAGACTATGGGTAGGTAGCACGTGTCTCTGTAGAGTGGACTGTGTAGACTATGGGTAGGAAGCACGTGTCTCTCTGTAGAGTGGAATGTGTAGACTATGGGTAGGTAGCACGTATCTCTATGTAGAGTGGACTGTGTAGACTATGGGTAGGTAGCACGTGTCTCTCTGTAGAGTGGACTGTGTAGACTATGGGTAGGTAGCACGTATCTCTATGTAGAGTGGACTGTGTAGACTATGGGTAGGTAGCACGTGACTCTCTGTAGAGTGGACTGTGTAGACTATGGGTAGGTAGCACGTGTCTCTCGGTAGAGTGGACTGTGTAGACTATGGGTAGGTAGCACGTGTCTCTATGTAGAGTGGACTGTGTAGACTATGGGTAGGTAGCACGTGTCTCTAGAGTGGACTGTGTAGACTATGGGTAGGAAGCACGTGTCTCTAGAGTGGACTGTGTAGACTATGGGTAGGTAGCACGTGTCTCTCTGTAGAGTGGACTGTGTAGACTATGGGTAGGTAGCACGTGTCTCTCTGTAGAGTGGACTGTGTAGACTATGGGTAGGAAGCACGTGTCTCTCTGTAGAGTGGACTGTGTAGACTATGGGTAGGTAGCACGTGTCGATGTAGAGTGGACTGTGTAGACTATGGGTAGGTAGCACGTGTCTCTCTGTAGAGTGGACTGTGTAGACTATGGGTAGGTAGCACGTGTCTCTATGTAGAGTGGACTGTGTAGACTATGGGTAGGTAGCACGTGTCTCTGTAGAGTGGACTGTGTAGACTATGGGTAGGTAGCACGTGTTTTTCTGTAGAGTGGACTGTGTAGATTATGGGTAGGTAGCACGTGTCTATGTAGAGTGGACTGTGTAGACTATGGGTAGGTAGCACTTGTCTCTCTGTAGAGTGGACTGTGTAGACTATGGGTAGGTAGCACGTCTCTCTGTAGAGTGGACTGTGTAGACTATGGGTAGGTAGCACATGTCTATGTAGAGTGGACTGTGTAGACTATGGGTAGGTAGCACGTGTCTCTCTGTAGAGTGGACTGTGTAGACTATGGGTAGGTAGCACGTGTCTCTCTGTAGAGTGGACTGTGTAGACTATGGGTAGGTAGCACGTGTCTCTCTGTAGAGTGGACTGTGTAGACTATGGGTAGGTAGCACGTGTCTCTCTGTAGAGTGGACTGTGTAGACTATGGGTAGGTAGCACTTGTCTCTCTGTAGAGTGGACTGTGTAGACTATGGGTAGGTAGCACGTCTCTCTGTAGAGTGGACTGTGTAGACTATGGGTAGGTAGCACATGTCTATGTAGAGTGGACTGTGTAGACTATGGGTAGGTAGCACGTGTCTATGTAGAGTGGACTATGTAGACTATGGGTAGGTAGCACGTGTCTATGTAGAGTGGACTGTGTAGACTATGGGTAGGTAACACGTGTCTCTCTGTAGAGTGGACTGTGTAGACTATGGGTAGGTAGCACGTGTCTCTCTGTAGAGTGGACTGTGTAGACTATGGGTAGGTAGCACGTGTCTCTCTGTAGAGTGGACTGTGTAGACTATGGGTAGGTAGCACGTGTCTATGTAGAGTGGACTATGTAGACTATGGGTAGGTAGCACGTGTCTATGTAGAGTGGACTGTGTAGACTATGGGTAGGAAGCACGTGTCTCGCTGTAGAGTGGACTGTGTAGACTATGGGTAGGTAGCACGTGTCTATGTAGAGTGGACTGTGTAGACTATGGGTAGGTAGCACGTGTCTCTCTGTAGAGTGGAATGTGTAGACTATGGGTACGTAGCACGTGTCTCTCTGTAGAGTGGACTGTGTAGACTATGGGTAGTTAGCACGTGTCTCTAGAGTGGACTGTGTAGACTATGGGTAGTTAGCACGTGTCTCTAGAGTGGACTGTGTAGACTATGGGTAGGTAACACGTGTCTCTCTGTAGAGTGGACTGTGTAGACTATGGGTAGGTAGCACGTGTCTTTCTATAGAGTGGACTGTGTAGACTATGGGTAGGTAGCACGTGTCTATGTAGAGTGGACTGTGTAGACTATAGGTAGGTAGCACGTGTCTCTCTGTAGAGTGGACTGTGTAGATTACGGGTAGGTAGCACGTGTCTATGTAGAGTGGACTGTGTACACTATTTGTAGGTAGCACGTGTCTCTCTGTAGAGTGGACTGTGTAGACTATGGGTAGGTAGCACGTGTCTCTGTAGAGTGGACTGTGTAGACTATGGGTAGGTAGCACGTGTCTCTCTGTAGAGTGGACTGTGTAGACTATGGGTAGGTAACATGTGTCTCTCTGAAGAGTGGACTGTGTAGACTATGGGTAGGTAGCACGTGTCTCTCTGTAGAGTGGACTGTGTAGACTATGGGTAGGTAGCACGTGTCTCTCGGTAGAGTGGACTGTGTAGACTATGAGTAGGTAGCACGTGTCTCTAGAGTGGACTGTGTAGACTATGGGTAGGTAGCACTTGTCTCTCTGTAGAGTGGCCTGTGTAGACTATGGGTAGGTAGCACGTGTCTCTGTAGAGTGGACTGTGTAGACTATGGGTAGGTAGCACGTGTCTCTCTGTAGAGTGGACTGTGTAGACTATGGGTAGGTAGCACGTGTCTCTCTGTAGAGTGGACTGTGTAGACTATGGGTAGGTAGCACGTGTCTCTATGTAGAGTGGTTGTGTGTAGACTATGTGTAGGTAGATTGCATTTAAGTGTACACTGGTCTGTAGGAAGATCTGAAGCCAGTGCAAAGGCTTAGAGAAAAGAGCATTCTCCTGGCCTGTGCTGCTGGCTTACCTGCTGCCCTGATCCTTCACAAGCTCTTAGGTGTGATGCTGTGGGGCTCCATGGCAGGGTCAGATTGCTCACTGGCTTTGCCATTTCACCCTGTCCCCTGTAAATTCTCAAAGCCTGACATGGAGCTGAGTATACATACTTTAAAATGTGAAAACCATTGCTGATTTTCTTCATCATTTCCACAGCCTAGCAATGAAAAAGCTTCAGAACGCCATCCTTAAAGTTATATGCTTGGATGTCTCCAAAATAACTGAGTTAAAGGACAGTCTATAAAAAATCATCCAGTCATATTTTTTTCTGTTCTAAATTGTGCTCAGAGAGATTTCTTTTCTTTAAGCCAAAGCTTTTCAATGGTGTCTATTAAATGTATCGACTTCAAGTGAGAAACTCACAAGAATCTGTTTTCCATCAGAATTATTCTATGGCTGAAACTAAACATAAAGGAAGATCGGTCACTTCTGGAACACTCAAAGGTTCAATCGTTGGCCCACTGAAATATATTGCCGCTATTCTGTAGGCAAAGGTATAAGCTGCAGGCAAAGAAGCTCCGAGTTCTGTCTCAACTCCCTTCAGTTCTCTGACAAGGCTCGGAAGAGCCCTTGGTGTACTGCCTGAGATGAGCGTGGCCACAAATGGTGCCTCGCCCAATCCTCAAACACACAGAACTCAGCAGTTACGTTTTCTATCACGTCAGTTACCTTTTCATGTTGAATTATTGCAATCGGTGTTTTAACTTTAAAACAATCAAGGAGCATGAATGATTGTACAGTCCTTGGGCTTTTACCCCCAGTAAAGGTAGCATTGATCCTTACTAATTCAGTGATGCCAGCTGGGATTTTTAAAGCAGATCTTCTTAGAGGGCTTTGGCCTCTTGGTAGCTTTTGGAATTACATTATAGAGATCGATTGGATTGTCTAGACTGGTGGCCCCAGAGGAATTAAAATGTCCTTTCTTCAAAGAGAGGGCTTAAACTCCAGACACGTGTCCATTAGTGGTGGGGTCTGGAGACCCCATCTTCTGCCTCGGAGCTTTCTCCGCAGACTCGCTGAGTTGGTCTCCTCCCAGGCGGCTCACTTGGATCCTTTCATTCTCCTGGGCTCTATTGTCCCGAGAATCTAACTTTCTGCTCTTAGTTATCTACTTCCACCATATGTTCCTGAGGTAAAACCCAGCTTAGCAGGCTCAGTCAACAGGAGCTTTTTCCCAAGGAACCATTTACCATTCCTTACTGATGCTTTAAAAGATTTATATGTGTGTGTATATGTGTTTTTTTGTGTGCACGCGTGTATGTGCAATGTGCACATGAAGACCAGAGAACCACTGGGGGTGTCATTCCTCAGGAGCCGTTTACCTAGTTTGTGTGCCAGACTCTTCCATTTGGCCTCTAACTAGTCCCAGCAAGACTAGTTAGTAGTAGGGTAGGCTAGTCATGGCAACTAGTTAGTAGTAGGGTAGGCCAGTCACAACAACTAGTTAGTAGTAGGGTAGGCTAGTCACAACAACTAGTTAGTAGTAGGGTAGGCTAGTCACAGCAAATAGTAATAGGGTAGGCTAGTCATGGCAACTAGTTAGTAGTAGGGTAGGCTAGTCACAACAACTAGTTAGTAGGGTAGGCTAGTCACAACAACTAGTTAGTAGTAGGGTAGGCTAGCCCCAGCAAACCCAGGGCTCTGCCTGTCTGCCTCTCCAGCACTGGTCTCAAGTCTGTGTCATCACACCTGGCATCTTTATGTGGATTCCAGGGATGAAATGTGGGTCCTCTGGGTGTATGACAAGCTCCTTATGGGCTGAGCAATGTCCCCAGCACTGTGGATTGTGACTGCTCAGTGTGTTATTTTATTACAGTCGTGTTTTACACACGTGGAAGGCATCTCCTTTGGTGCTAGGCACTGACCCTGAGGACCTGTCTTCTCCGGTGTCCTTCCTCCTCAGGGCCTCAGATCCTCAGGATCTTCCAAGGATCCTGGAACTGTTAGGGAGTCAATCCCGGCCTCCCATGGTATTGGCTCTGTCTTGTGTCCTGGAGGAGCCTATCTTGTTGATCTGCGCCAGTGACTCGGGAAGCCAAGCTTCCGGCGCGCCCCTCGAGCACGGCGAGGATGCCCCTGAAAGGTGTTGCTCATTTCTGTTCTGTTGCCTGTTTCTTTCAGATCATTCTCAACTCCGGTCCTGTGGAGCCTCCTGAAAGTGACAGCCACACAGTAAGTTCACATTTAGAATTCTCTTCTCGGCTGCACACGGGAACCTGTGTTTTATTCAATGCTTTCACGAAAATCGTTTCGTTCAAGTATTTTATTGGTGAACAGCAGCAGAAGGAATGAGGGTTTTATGTACAGGAGAAACACTGAGCCATCACTTTAAAATTGATAGAACTAATAAATGGACAGAGACGAAAAATAACGCTCAGATTACCTCCAGGGATACACACAGCAACCTCCCCTGACATGTTAAAGCTGGGCCATCGTCCAAGCGGTATTTCAGACGGCGCCAGGCATCAATCATAGCAGAGCCTAGCACTTGACGGGCACATATATGTTTGGGGAATGTATAGATGGGTTGGATGACTTGGCAGTTTGAGATAGCATCTCTGTGAGCCCTCATTCCGTATTGTGAGACAATGTGGAGCCTTGGGAAGTGCGCCAGCTGTGGATCTGGGTTCTTCGTTTCGATCCCCGACTCTGCCTCTTAGTGGCTACCCCTATGTCAGCTCCTCTCTGTGGCCTGATGTCCTCTCCCTTACAATGATTCTAATAGGACCTCCTCGCTGGCTGATGTGATTGCCATTTAAAATACTTGTTAAAGTTTGATTTTATTTCTTATTGTTCTGTGTTTGGGGTTTGTTAAGACAAAAATCTCACTCCACAGCTCAGGCTGTCTCCAGACTCACTATGGAGCCCAGGATGGCCATGAACTTACGGCCCTTCTTTTGTCTCTCCCTACTGAGTGCCGGGATTATGGGTATGAGTTGTCATGTCCAGAAATGAGGACATGACATGACGAGGGTAGGAACATCTGCGTGTCTTGTGTGGAGACTGAAGCACTGGTTTGCTTTAAAAGCATCGACACCCCCATAGCATTGAGCTCCCTGTACAGAAAACTCTGCTTCCCAGGTCTGTTCTACATTAAAAGCCGGGGGTTCTTTGAGTAAAGGGTTGATTGATTAAGACAAGGGCAGGAAATGCACAAGATAAGCTTAGAGTATCCCATGGTGTTAGAAACTGAAGAAATGAAAAAGAAAATGGCAAATCAAAGTTCCCCACCTGCCCCTCACGCAAATGCGGGGCCCAGCTGCAAGAGCTCCCGATGGTTGGGACAGTTTCAGCCACGTAATAAATAAAACAGCCTTGAGCTATAACCTAAAGGATGCATACCTGCGCTCATATCAATGATTGGGTGGATAAACAATAAATGGTGGAGACCCCCCCCCAGTAGAAGAATCTCAGCTAGGGTACCCGCCCTCCCCAGTAGAAGAATCTCAGCTAGGGTACCTGCCCTCCCCTGCAGAAGAATCTCAGCTAGGATCTTCCCCCATCCCCAGTGGAAGAATCTCAGCTAATTTTCTTATAGAGTGCAGAGTGGGAAGGGGGAAGAAACAATCCTACTTCAGACAGAAACGTTCCCTGCTCTGGGGGATGGAGACCAGAGCTTTGTCCCTGCCAGGCAAGCCCTCTACTGTCTCACCTCCACCAGGGAATCACGGTTCACATCACGGTGAACCATCATATCAATAAGAGACATCTTTAATCTATAGTGACAAGGACACTTTACCGTTGGGATTTTCATCCCCACATGTTCCCTGACTCTAACCATGAGGCAAACATAAGACGAAGTCTAATATCTGTCTATTCTAAATGTTTGGTCAGAACTCTTTCGAACCATCAGTGTAGTTAAAACAGGCGATGTGGGAGAAATTGTCCCAGGCAGACGCCTAAGTCAGACTATGACTGAATGTCATCTCGTATCATAGCCAAGTCGACTCTGGGGCGGACATAAAGCTAAGAAAGCAGGAAAAAAGTGTGGAGCGTAGTCGGCAATGAGATGTGGTGTGCTTTATCATGTATTGGTTGTGATACACACCATTATTAACATTTGGATAGCTGAGCTTGGAGTCCACAGTTTCTCTCTGCCTATCTTCACAATGGTCCTATAAATTCTTAACTTATAAATATTGGAAGATTAAATTTTAATTTTTTAAAAGTGAAAGTATACCTCTCCCTCAAAGCAACAGCAAACAAACCAAGCCTTCCAATGTAAAAAAATATTTTTATTTATGTGTGTACGTGTGTGGTATGTGCACATGTATGCAGTTACCCACAGAAGCTAGAAGAAAGTGTCAGATCCCCCAGAGGTTGAGTCCCAGGCAGTTGTGAGCCACCCAACATGGGTGCTGGGAACCTTCAGGTTCTCTGCAAGGAGTCTCTCTGGACCATTGAGCCATCCCTACAACCCCCACCTGCTAATTTTTAAGTATGGGGAAGAAAACCACTTTGGTGTATAATTTGTTTGTGTTCAAGATTCCTACCTAGAGAAGTATATTCATCAATGAACTTTTAAATTACACAGGCAATATTCATTTATACAGCATTCAGCTATATTTTATATCATCCTTGGAAAGAAGAACAAGTTGGGTGTGGTAGTGCATGTCTGTAATCCCAGCACTCATGAGGCTGAGGTAGGAGGATCTGGAGTTCAGGGTCTGACTACATAATGGGTCCCTGTTTGGAAATCAAAAATACAAACAGTAATAACAACTAGGAAAAAAAACATGGAACAAAATAATTGTCAAAGCTGAAACATAATTATTTGAGTAGAAAGAGAATTAGAATTCTCTCGGTTCCTTCTGCCTTGCTGTGGCCACACACCTGACAGGAAACAGAAGGGAACAGATGCTCGTCTGACTCATGGTTTTGGAGAGATTGCAGCCTGGCATAGCCGGGAAACCAAGGCAAAATGGCTCCATCTGTAGAGGAGACAAGGCAACAACAGTATTTCCCCTGCAGACCATGAAATGGAGAAAGCTACCTGGAACCAGGGCTGGGAATAACCTCCAAGGGCTTGTCTCTGTTAACCCAACCCTGCCTCACCTCCTAAAGACCCTACAGCCTTCAAACAATGCACAAGTGAGGGCCTCGTGTTCAAAACATGAGCCTGTGGGACACTTCAAAGCCAAGGCATAACAGAAACCATGAGTCTTGTTGTCTATTGCTACATAACAAACCACCACAAATACAGGACTTAGATCTGTTTCCATGCGCTGAGTCCGCGGGCAGCTAGCCCCAGCTTTGCTTACTGTCTCACAAGCCAGCTGTTCATCCCTCTGGTCCTTTATCAAGGCTCAAGGGTTTTCTTTCAGTTCATGAAGTTACGAAATTTAGTTGCACTTGGAATACTGAGTCTCTGGTTTTCTTCAGGACTGTCACCTGGATCTGTCCTCATCAAGGAACTACCCATCACCCCATGCTCTGTGACATTTTATAACCCTGTGTCCACATGACAGCTTATGGTCTCAAAGCCAGCAGAAGACTCTCTTGTCTTCTGAGTTGGTGTCTTACAAAGCAATTAGGGAAATACCTACCCAGTTGGCATTACCATCGCTGGCTAAAAGGTAATGACAGGCCAAGCCTGAACTTCACAGGCAAGACTCACACTGAGGATCGCTCGAGGGTATGCTTATGTGTATAGGTCATGAGTTGTGGGACATTGGGATCTCATGACTGTTGGGATCGCTACCATAGTCAAGCAAAGCAGCAAAAGTCGGGATTAAAGGGATGTGCTCACTGCTTGCTTCTGAACAGATTTCTGTTGGAGGTAAACAAATGGGTTTGCCTCTCACCCCAAACTAACAGTGCCCTTCAAAGTTATCAGATGAGAGTTAGGATTACATGAAGATCAAGGCATCAGAAAAAAATACTTGGAGACAGTTCTTAAATGTATCACTGTATCTCTGACTAGTCTTTTTCTAGCACATAAATATGCTCTTGGCAACCATGTTTATGAATTTTGAGAACTCACTCAGTCAAAGCTCAGATAATATAATAGCACTGCCTGTTTTTCGTGGTTATTCATTTTAAGGCAATTTGGTTTTTTTCATACTTTCATTTCAAACTTCTGTCCACTAATAACTAATTGGTAGAATGATATCATTAAAGTTGTATTATTATTATTATTGCTTTACATGTGTTTGCGTGTTTAAAATATATTGGGTATTTGCTTTTGCAGACTCCTTATCATGAATTCTGAGTCCTTTTCTCATTAAATATTACACACAGAAACCACTGGTGTTGCCATGGTTCTCCATAAATTACTGTAACCACTACCTACATCTTTGGCATCTCGGGTTATCTTTTTCTCATTTTGGTCTGGTGGCTCTGTGAAAACCGAATCATCGAGAAGCCCTATTGCATATTTAGGCTTCAGAAGTCACCTTCCAGCAGCTGCTTGACTGAAAATAAACTCAGGACTCTGCTAGCATCTGTGGGTGGGCTTGGGTCTCGTGATCGCTGTCCAGAGAGTCCCTGATGAGGCCACTAAAAGCCAGGGAGGGGACACAAAGTCTTTGCTATTTAGGACTCAGATCTGCAGCTGTCTTGATGGAGGCCTAAGGTGAGGCAAGGGGGAAACACACATTGGAAGTCATTCGGCTAAGACACTGCAGGAAAACTGGATTCCCATGCTCCTCCTGCCTCCCTTCTCTCCTTTCCGAGTCTTCTCCCCATTTCCCAGCTCACCCACAGTAAGCCTCGGGCTGTAGATGTTGGCTTCTCTTGTGCCAAGGGCTCTAAAGGGCTGTGTTCCAGAGCAATGGAGCCTAATAGACTGCGGCTATTGGTGAAATAACTCATTTATCACCAAAAGGTCAACGCTTCCTCCCTTCCTTCTTTTCTGCTTTGGGGTTGTTTTCTTTGTAGAAACTAAATAAAGGTGTCTTTTTAAAACATATAGACAATAGTGGAGGTAAAAACAAGTCACCTTTCCTGCCTGGGGCAAGCGCATGCAGGGATGTGTTTATCTCTGGGTGAGAGATGGTGAGTCTTCCTCAGGCTACCTCCAGTGGAACCATCTAGAATCCCCCTCAGCTCCTGACCTCTGATGTCACTCAAGCTCTTCCGTGTGTTTTCTTTTTTGGGGGGGGGGGCTTGGGAATCACCCAACAGTGTCCTCAGATTTATTTGACACATACCTTAATGTATAAATCTGGTAA